TTTTTGAAAATGCTGTCGTCGTCTATGTTATTTAGGGAGATTTCAGGGTTTTCAATATTAACTTTCCCATCTTCTACATCTAGAAAGCGTCATTTGAGGTATGTGATGAAGGTTTTGCTTAATTGATTTTGAGTTTTTTTTGCAACAAGCATTTAATTCTTGTTTAATTTTGATTCACTTGTTATATTCTGAAAAAGAGACGTTCTTGAAATATGGTAATAACTTTCTATTAATAAATTACGTTGAATATTTGTCATCCATCATTGCAGCGTATGCACTTCAGTACAACGAAATTACTTTATTTAGCTTCGGTTTAAATTTATTGAACATTGTTTAACAATTTTCCGATAAACTCGCTCTGTTACATATTGATTATTTCACAAGCAAAGCAATTTCCGAACGAAATCACGTAACAATTCTCTCAATTGATTTCGAAAAAGCATTTGACAGAGTTGGTGTTCATGTTATCTTAAGACTCTTGAAATCATGGAATGTTAGACCCAAATTCTTCAACTACATCAAATCATTCATGTCGCATCGGCGGTTCAAAATTAGAATCAACAATCATCTTTCTGATTCCTTTCCGCTAATGAATGGCATTCCGCAAGGATCTCCTCTCTCTGTCACGCTTTCCCAGATCGCTTTCAACGAAATTAGCAAAATCCTTTGCCGTGTACCAAGAGTGGAACATTGTCTCTACGCGGACGATGTATACATTTTTACAAAAGAAAAAGACAACACGAAAGCAATCAACATCCTCGAATCTATTGCATGTGAGATCTCCACATGGGCAAACTCGTGAGGAGCTAAAATTTCTATACAAAAATAAAAAAAAATGCACATTTGTCGAAAACAAATGTGCGATGCAGGAAACCTACTGATGCATATTAACGACTTACCAGTAGTAAATGTGCAGACGCTCCATGTTCTCGGGCTCACGTTTTCCAACAATTATCGTTGGAAAGCACACTGTCTTCGGTTAAAAAACTCCCTTTTAACAAGGGTAAATTTCATACAGTACGTTGCTTGAAGAAGCCATGCGCATATTAACACTATTGCCTATCTTACGAAAATGTTTGTGTTAAGCAAGATTGACTATGCTTTGATAATTTATGGCAATAGCTGCAAATATAATATCAACATCCTTAAACCGGTCTATCACCAAGCCGTCAGAGCAAGTTGTTATGCTTTTCGGACGACGCCCATAAATAATATTATAATTGAAACTCGTCTCCCAACTTTAGAAAATAGACTGTATGAGTTAGAAGCTAAAATAGTCCCTGAGCTTCTTAATTCAAACAAATCCATTCTCGGTGATGACGTAAGAAAGATTATTATTGCGAAGAAAATTCCAAAGTCACCATCTGCAATTGACCATTGTTTGAGACTGCTCTTTTGACATCTCACTGTCTATGCACAAGAAAGAAGATACTCCAAATTACGTCTTCAGGAATCTAATAGCTGAAAAAACCCAAGTATTGGAAAGTACTGGTTGGAATCTTTTATACACAGACGGCTCAAAATCTTCTGGTCTGCCTCCTGCTTGTGCCGTGGTAGATGCTACGGGACAGGTTCTTCTCAACCACATATTTCACGAAAGTACTTCAACTTTCATAACCGAAGCCAGACCTATCCTTCACGCTGCCAACCTTGCCCATAAAAACAAACTCAAAACCGTTATTGTAACCGACAGTTTGTCTCTATTACAAGCTATTCGGAACCCTTCGACTTCGAGATAGAGCACCATCAACAAATTAAGGAATATAATTACTACACCTGACGGAAAAATTAAAATGTTATGGGTACCAAGTCACATCGGTTTACTGGGAAATGAGCAGGCTGATCGAGCGGCAAAGTATGCTGCTTCTGCTCCTCTAATTATGGATGATGTCATGGAAAAGTTGGATCTTCAAAGATACATTGGAAGAAAAGTTAAAGAGAAAATTGCAGAAGGAAATTTACAATACCATCATCAACACTACTCTTGCATTAACCTTCAATTAACTTCACCTCTATATCCAACAAATGTTGAGAAAACCAAGATCCAAACATTCTCGAGAATTCGCCTTGGTCATACAATTGCAACTCACCGAAGGATCCTGAAGAAGTCTTCTTCCCCAATCTGCTGTTGTGGACAAACTCTGCGACTGTCTCAACTTTTCCTTGGCTAGAAGTATTGCATTTGGAACGATTAACCCTTTGAACATTCTACAATCAGCTTCAGAACAGAATATCAATTCTATACATTACTTTATTAATACTACTAAGCTCATTATCTAATGTACATTTTATTATTCTTTTTTATAATTAGAGCCGATAGCCTGTGTTGCTAGTGCTCAATGTCTTTTTTTAGTCTAAGAATTCATTTCATTAGTCTAAAATTAAAATAATAATAATAATAATAATAGTATTGCGTCTATTAAGTGATATAGTCATATAAAAGTCAGATGCGGTGCGTGCTGCCGTCTGCTCGCTTTCTGTCATAGATATGAGTTCTGAGGATGCGAATATGTCGTTTGTTCGCTGCATTTCGATCGCAGACGGCAGCTCTTACATCCAGCTCTTCGGCCGCTTTGATATTTTCTTCAAATAGCGGCTTCATGCCTAGTTTATTCATTGTGCAAGGGTGGCTGTTGAGTATTACGTTGAAAGGGGTTAGCAGATTTCTTGCTGCGAAGACAAGGACAGAGCGGTGCTCCACGGTCCTCGTTTACGCCTTGTCGCTATAGTCGCAACCACGCAACACTTCTTCTGCCCGTGAGTACACCGCCACATGATTGGTGTACACCTCGTCGAAATGGATCTGCACAAGTCTGTCGTGTGTTGACAGTTCATCGAATTTCGTACTAGGATTTGACAACTATCGCCTTGAAGCCTGGGCTGACGTCGACGGTCCGTCAGAGTCATCATCAGCCATCTCCATGCAGTGCTCTATAAAAACGTCTATGCAGCTTCTCAGCATCAAGATAGGTGTTATTTCATTTGGTGGGGGCGTCTTTTGCATCAAGGCAGGTGATATTTCAGAGACCGACGCCACCCGTGATGCCCGCGCTATCCCGAAGGCCCTACGAGGCGCGGGGGCAGAGGCGTCATAATAAACAAAATATATTGTTAAGAATTAATTAATTAATAATGCTGTTTTGTATTGTAAAAAATAATATATAAAAAAACAGAAAAATAACCGCTGTCCCTCCACCTAAGAATGTTTATACATTATTGCCTTTCGGTTACTGTCAGTTTGACTCGATTCTATGACTTTTTAATTGGTGAATAAATGTATTGGCTCACGAATGGTAGGTGGGCACTTTATTAAGATTTGATGATTTAGTTAATATCCTCTCAATGATGCGGCTGGAAAAGCATAACAATTGTGCATATATATTGCTTATTAATTGTTTATAAATCGTAGATACCAATGATTATATTGCAGCTGTGCCAGGCGCTTTCAAGTATTGAATTCGCAGATTTTGCATCGCTATACTGAACAAGAATCTGATAGGTGGTGATTTTGAAGAATCCATGATGCAATGTCAAGCTTTTTGATTTTCTCAAATTCCCTTTCTATAGTCACGTCTTCGGGCTTGTTCATGTTTACACCGACCAGCTCCATATCTTCAGCGTAGCAGTTTGCTGCCGGGAATTTTTATATCTAGTGAAATACAACGAGAGCAAATGAATTTTATTCAATTCAATCGAAACTAATCAATGCTTCAATATATATTTATGTTTCTTACCACCGATTGAGAACTTCAGAAAAAGAAACGACGGATAAACGTTACAATTCAGTGGTGACGGCGGTGGCGAAAAACAAACCTCAGGCTGGTGTTAATTTTATGCCGTTAGTGGTAGATTGTAGACTGAAGTACACCGGTTCGGGTCCCATACTTATGAATTTCTCATAGCCATAATAATAATTTTTGTATAAGATACGGAAAATTTATTTAATCAGAAAATAATTGTACAGGTGTTTTTGTTCACTTTGAGAAACCTGGCGTTTGATTTTTGGAAATTCTGATAGACTCTACGTTTGATTTTTACAAACTCTAAGAGAGAATGCTTATATGGGAAGAAATTTATTTCAGCTTTTTTTTACTTCTATCAAAAAACGTATGTGTTTTTTTTGCTCACGTCATTAATGTATGGCTCTTATTAACTTTTCATTTATTTACACGGATTTCAGAAATTCATCTTTTTTTTTCTAAAAATATTTAAAAATTATTGAAAACAATTTTATGCGTTTTTTTGTGTTCAATTTTTTATTTTCTTGTATTTTGTTATGCTTTAGTTGGCGCTTCTGTCGACCGCACCGTACTTTTGAGAGACCCAAGTGAATGCAATGATTTTCACTGCTGTTAGCGTTTGTGCATCGCTTTTCATTTCTGAGATTCTATTTATATATAATATAACAAGTGAACAAACAGTAAAAGGGAAACACCTAATAAGCGTAATATCGCAGTGGTTCATTCAGACTCGCATTTCTATTACTCTAAGGAGGTACAGCGAATTCAAAAGAAAACATATAAAATTGTTTACAAATCAAAGAGAGGTAGAGCGAATTGAAAAGAAAACATATGAAAAATTTTTTCCTTTAGGATTTTTACAGAATTTTTTTGAGTGGACGGGTAAAAACATTCCTTATTAAATTATTATTATCATTTTCAGCTCACTTGCAACAGTATCACGCAGGATTTCAATTTTACTTGATTCTCTTCTACAGAATAAAATTTTCCTAGTTCCCGTCTTAAATATTCCTATGATGATGTTTGCTGGTTTCGTTGTTGCTTTACGTGATTTACACAGTTATTTGAAATGGGGCAGTCACATATCATATCTACGTTATGCTCTATTTGTTTTCTTTACTTTAGATTGTAGGAAAATGAGTGATAATTTTTTTTTTCTTTTTTTGAAAAAAAAAAAGCAAAAAATTTTTTTGTCAATCGGAGTTCATTTTTGGAGTTCATAGGGATGACTGAATGAATTTTGAAAAAAAAAGAATTAAAAACTTAGAGCAGCTCTTTTTTTTGATAAAAAAAGGACTGCCCTTTAGTGAATTGGGAATTCGATTACGACTTGGAGAAATAGGTTTTCCCTTGTGCAAGGATTACAATTTATTAAATTTTGAAAATGGATGAAAGCATAGAATCAAGTCTCCAAAGTTCCTACACATCTATCTATCAGAAGCGAATGCAATGGAAACATAAATTGTAGAAATGTAGTATAAGTTCTTCTCAGTGTAATGATAGGAAACTGCGCCAACCTGCCCTACTTGATTTCTACGACAACATAAGTGAAGAAAGTTGCTTGGTCGGTCCGAATGATTGTGATATCAATAAAACATTCGTAATTCAAAAAGATATCGCTTTACAAAAAAACGAGAGTTGATACGACGTTAAAATAATGTCCTTAGCTGATTCCCGGTGTTATGTGCAAATGTCAATAGCCAATTTTGACAATTTGACAGCCTCGCAAAAATTTACATTATGTCACGAATTATTATCACAGTCTGCTGAGTCATCGATGAATATAAGTGAATTTCACATCACTGATACACAGTTCATCGAATGTTGCAATAAACTGGAAGTTACGATGAAAGCAGTAAACAATATAGACGAACCAGAAAGAGCTCGTGGTGACAATAACAATAAAGCAATAGGAGATGTAATATTTGAGGACTTTTCTACAACGCCTTTTAACAGTCCTATAGTATCACCTGAGAGTAAATTAAGAAATTTGGAACGGAACCCTTTATTTATATCACTGAAGAAACCGAAACGTTACTATAGCCGTAAATTTAAAGAAAAGGCGAAATCAAATTTGGAGGAAAAATTCAAGGCCGCTATTGAGGACAACATGAGTACATGTTCATCTTCATTGTTGCAATGCAAAAACGATAAGCATCTTCTCAATGTTTGTAATCAATTCGATGGCACTTTAATTGATAAACATATCGTAAATTTGATTTCCAAAAAGTCATATGATTCCATCTCAGTTGCTCTTTATCGGTTTTTTTTAACAACTCTAACCTTGTACATTCTTCTTTGGAAAAGCTTCAGATCTTAATTACGACGATATCGAGAAAGAGGACAAGTACACCGTAAATGAAAGAAAGTTGTTTTTAAAATCTGTGATGAGACAATATTTAAATTAATCCAAAATTTTTTAGCTTTAGTGTCAGCTAATCAGTGTAAAACTGGGATAAGTAAAAATTATCATTGGGATGAAGATGACAATGACTTCTTTGCTTCCATAAGCACTCAAGAAATCTTAGATCAAAACAGGAAGGTCAATAATAACGTTCGCAGTATATCTAAGTTCCCAGTAAATAAGCAGATAACCCAAGGTATGACTTTGATATTGCTCATATTTTTTTTACGCTTATTTGTTTGATTGGCTTTAAAAGTAACCAAAGTTACAATATTAGTGAATACTATAAGAACTTGATGCTGAGAGAAACTAATGTTGCATTAGGGCTTCAAAAAACTAGCGGAAAACAGCCGGAGTTGGGAGAAGGCAAAAACGCAGTTGGCCTGAATGAAATTTTTATTGAAAACGAATGGGAAGAAGTGAAAAATAAAATGCATCAAGATGAGTTGGGCAAGTTCAATAATCCGGCAAGTTCGTTTGTTTCTGCAGGTTTACAAACAGTGAATGGTAAAAAAAGCCCATATTGGAGGCGGAGCAGAAATTCGTACAAAATGTTATAAGAGCAAAGTATGCTGTCTGAAAAAAAAACTTTTAACACATCTTTAACAAGTAGGAAAGAAGAAAAATAT